AACAGATGCAGTTCCTCGCCGTCGCCGGCAGGTTCTAGCTTGTTGCTGCTATATATATAGCTGGACCTCCACTTATTTACTTACTTATGATCAATTAATGTCCCCTAAACCCAGAATTACAATTAACTACTTATATACACACTTCACAAAAATTCACTTTTATGGTCACCTGCTAGTGCTGATGGATGACGGAGAAGTTCAGCTACAGGGCGAAGGATTTGTACGAGATACTGGTGGATGAAAACAATGTGGAGCTGCAGGCTGAAACTGATCGTGCAGTTCACTCGAAAAGACACCTCTCCCTTCATCATCGATTTCCCTGCAGCTGATTCCATTCTCCTTTGCGAACTGGTTATTTTAAAACGAATTAGAGAGACAAGAATTAATTAGGTGTGAAAACATAATTAATTAAGAGAGAACTTAAGTATACACATTACTAATTATTTTTTACTAATTCTATTCATCTAGTAAGAACATCAGATAGAATAACAAACCACACAAAGCATACCACAATTATTTCGAAAGCATACCAGAAATCTCCTAATGCAGACCATAAATTGTCTAAAACATACCAGAAACATGGTAAAACAAACCAGAAATATTTCTAAAGCACACCAGAAACCCCCTAATACAAACCACAAACACGGTAAAGCAAACCAGAAATCTCCTAATGCATACCACAAATCTCCTAAAACAAACCAGAAACTTCGCAAAACAAACCACAAAAGTTTCGAAACCACACCAAAAATTTCCTAATGCAAACCAGAAACTTCCGAATGCATACCACAAATATCCTAAAACAAACCACAAACCTCACAAAGCAAACCACAACATTTGCGAAGCACACCAGAAGCCTCCTAATGCAAACCACAAACACAGTAAATCAAACCACAAAAAAACAAACCATAAACGTCATAATGCAAACCACAAATATATTAAAACAAACCAGAAACCTCACAATGCAAACCACAAAGTTTTTGAAAGCAAACCAGAAACTTCTCAATGCAAACCACAAACACGATAAAGCAAACCACAAAAAGCATAAAAAAAAATGAGAAACCAAACCATAAATCTCACAATGCTAACCATAACATCCGGTGGTCATTGGCCGTTGACCGGTCAACGAAGACCGTTGACCGAACTCCGGTGACCGTCAGTGAGCAGATTTCGACGCCGATAGGCATATTCCGGCCCCGATGACTAGATTCCGACGCCGGTAAGCATATTCCGGCCACAAATAGCATATTCCGACGACAAAAAGCATATTCCGGTGACCGGCGACCATTTTCCGACGACCGTGTCAGAATTCCGGCGACCAAATTTTTGGGCAGAAAATAAAAAAATAGTTTTAATTTTTTATTTTTTTATTTTTTTATTTAAATAGATTTTTCATAATGACAATTATACCCCTGCTTTGATTTTACACTAGGTCAACTCATCTAATAAAAAGTCATCACAATCCTAGCTTCCTATTGGTTGGGGACTAGTGTTGTTACAATAACAACACAATGGGTGTTGTTACAATAACAACACAATGGGTGTTGTTATAGTAACCGGTAGAGATAATAATGTAGGAATTGGGGCTACATGTAACTCTCAAGTGAGCATCTAATGTGGTAGGTCATTGGTCATCCATACATCAATATTTACATAATATTAATCTCATTGTGTCAATCTTTTTGTCCAAGTCACTATAATTTGAAAGTCACCACCATGAATATACCATTCAAATAAAAAACTAGAATGACTGGATAAATAAAAATGGAGAGTTTATCATAGGATTAAGTATGATACATATATAAATCATGTATCAATTATTTCGGGTCATAGATAATGACCGTAGGATTAAGGAACTGGTTTTCTTGAAATAGTCAAAAGATGATAGTACATACTACATACATTGCACATATAGGATTGGGATTGGGGGAGAAGAAGAAGCCTTGTTGGCGTTCTCTTGGAAAAAGCTAGCTGTGCTGGCTGTTGCTGTGGCTGGCTACTTGCTGCTGCTGAAGCTAAAACCAAAACCCCTCTCCACTGCAGTCCAAAAAGCCTGTCTAATTCATTACTACATATTGTTTTGATTTTTCTCGAAAATTCCAAACCCACAAACTATCAAAGGAAAGGAAAATCCTTTCTGTGAAATTTCTCTCAATCTGGGTTCAGGGAAGCCTGCAAAACCCCCAAAAGCAGCAGGCTGCAATAGTGGCTCTTACCTACTGATCATTGATTAATGTATGAGTGAGAATCATGTGAGTTGAGTTTAAGACCACAGGAGGAACCGAGGAAGTAAAAGAGAGAGAGAGAGCTAACTGGTTGGTTGGTTGGTTGTATTAAATTCGTCGGCCAGCAAATCTAAAGAGAGCGACCTGAACTCTTGGTGCTCTTCTTCTTCTCTGTAAAAGAGAGTTACGCTTTTACTGTGGCTGCAATTTTTGTTTTGTGTTTTCCTCCTCCTCTGGTGTCATCAAAATGGCGGCGAGTGCGTCGAGGTTCATCAAATGTGTCACAGTTGGTGATGGGGCTGTGGGGAAGACCTGTATGCTCATCTGCTACACTAGCAACAAGTTCCCAACGGTATCATTTCATCATAACTCTGATTCCTATGTCTTTGGACTTGATCTTCAGTTGGTTTCGTTAGCTTTAAAACTATTGAATCTCTTTCCCCGTTTTCATTTCAGACGAAAGTTGCCTTCTTTCTTGCTTTCCAAATGAAACTTGCATTTAGGCATCGATCTCCAGTTGAAAAGTTAACGTTGTTGGCTTTGGCTTTTCTGGGCAGGATTACATACCCACAGTGTTCGACAATTTCAGTGCCAATGTTGTAGTAGAAGGAACCACTGTCAATTTAGGCCTCTGGGATACAGCTGGTAAACTTTGATTTGTGTCCTTCCTTACATTCTGTGTTCTTTCTCATCAGCTTAAACCCTTCTCCAAATTCTCTTTGCCCACCTTTTCTTGAATTCCAACGTACCGTAACAGGTCAGGAAGATTACAATAGATTAAGGCCATTAAGCTATAGAGGCGCAGATGTCTTTGTCTTATCTTTCTCCCTAATTAGCCGGGCCAGCTACGAGAATGTACTTAAGAAGGTGTGATCTTTGACAAATCTCATCATGGATCTATTGCCTTGTTGTGGTTTAGCAATCTGCTAATTTCTGGTGACTGTTTTCCAGTGGATTCCTGAGCTCCAGCATTATGCCCCTGGGATCCCACTGGTGCTGGTTGGTACCAAATTAGGTAAGTCCATTTCCATCTTATTACTGCAAATCAAATTTGATCCTTCCTACTACTGCCTCGAGTGTAGGATATTATAATCCTTACCATTGAGTGTAGCATGCTATCAGATTACATCTTGGTCATACCATATATAGAAATAAGGAGTTTGTGTTACTTGAAATTTAGCAGAAGTTAGCTAGCTCAGTTCTAGACTTTCTTGATGGGGCAGTCTACAGAACCTTCTGTTAGTCCCGGTAGCGCGGGCCTACAGGCCTGCACTTGCAGTATATTGCAACAGCAATCCTTCCCACTTTCTCAACCTGCAATTTCTGGTTTTATATGAAGGAACACTTGTGAAAGAGGAAGAAATGAAAAGCTTTGATCCGATTGTTCTGTGAAATAGAAACTCAAGGTTGTTTAAAAAAAAAAAAAAACAGGCATCTCTGTGATTAGGGCTTTAATCACACAAGGTAGCTGCAGTGAAACACTCAGCTTTATCATACTACCGATGCCTGATTAGTTGTTTATAACGTGTAGATCTTCGCAATGATAAGCATTATATGGCTGATCACCCTGGGCTGATACCTGTAACCACTGAACAGGTGTGCAGCATCTTTACACAAGCTATTTCGAATTGATTTTATTTTCTTTCAGTTGACCAACGCTGGTCTTAGGCAATAACACACTCTCTCTCTCCCTTTCCCATCCATATAACCAGGGAGAGGAACTCCGGAAGCTGGTTGGCGCAGCATACTACATCGAGTGCAGCTCCAAAACCCAGCAGGTAATAGTTATAGTATCATTCATCTCGTAAGAAATAAGCCACATCTTTGCATTGGGTAATGGGTACCTAATTCTTCGTTGTGATTTTGGGGGCAGAACGTCAAGGCAGTGTTTGATGCTGCAATCAGAGTGGTGATCAAGCCAGCAACAAAACCGAAAGACGCAAAGAAGAAGAAGAAGAAGCGTCGGGGATGCCTCCTGTTAGTAAAACTGTTTCCCTACAAAGTTTTTAGAGTATAGTTGGAGTCTTCTAATTGACAAGTGGAGCTTTTGCTTATGCAGGAACGTGCTTTGCGGAAGGAAATTGGTCTGCCTGAAATGAAGTCTCTGTTTGAACTTGTTTGCTTTTCTGACCACGGCCACATAGACAACAAACTCATGTACAGATAGCTTCTAAAGATCCCCACCACCATTTGGCACTTCCCTCCAAGCTTTCGACAGATGGACTCTTTTGTTCTCCTGTTTGTATTTGCTTCAGATAGGTTCTAAGATCGCACATTTCAGAGATCCTAGATCTACACTAATCCTTCTTCCTACTGCTGCTTTTAAATGTGTATAAACACTGGGGGAAAAGAAAGGAAATTTTTTGCCATGCGCGTGATTCGATCATTGGGCGGTTTTTATGAACCAGCTGCACAACAATTCCGCGTCAAACTTGTCCATAAACCGCACTGCAAACCATCTATCCTAGTTTCCTTGCTTTATACCTGGTTCTCACAACCTGTTGCACCACATAATTTTTGCAACTAAACACGTTTTCCAGCTCTATTTTTCTTTAATCTGATGTTGCCTTTGTTTTCCTTTAATTTGATAGATGCAACGAACCACCAAAACCAACAACAATACATAACAACCTCTACATGTACAACTATTTGCAGTTTTATTCCTATCAAGAGGAGCAATCGCAATGCTGGAACGCAAGCATCACTCGGTGTCGATGGAATCACTACTCGCAAGTCACACCACTAACACAAGAATTACCCCCGTCACATTTGAACTAACAGATTCAGAACACATTTCCAAACCACCAACGAAATTACAACAAGAAAACGAGAGAATCTAATAAACGAACAGACTCGGAAAATGTCAACTCGGTGTATATTACTTTCTGTGAGCAGCTGCTGCTGTAACTATCTTTCTCATGGGGTGAATTAGAAAGCAAAATGACGGTCGGTCACTGTCAGTCCAACAACACGAGAGCAAGTTTGAAGTACAAGACCGCAGCAGGAATTTCCACTACCAATTCTCATACCATTCTGCTTATTCACAGACTGAATAAGAAAACTACCAGCAAGTTAAAAAAAAATATCTACAAGGGGAGGAAATGCAGCTGCCCAGTACAAATTCCACACTAACAGCGCATATTGTCCCCCAGAAACCTCAGGAGGACATATTGCTTAATAACAGACAATTGGCACACGAGCAGCTGGGATTGGAGTTGTAGACTGAACACCACCTTCCTCACCATCTTTCTTCTTCGAGATTCCAAGTTTAATAGTTGATCTCTCGAATCCAGCTGGCCCAAATAACAGGGAACTGTGCAATTGAACAAAAAGAAAAACAAGAAAGCAACAGGGGGGTTCAGTGGCTAATACCAGACAACAAATACAACGTTCAAGCTGAAGATAAAGGCTAGTATTTAACAGCACCTCTCTGACTTCTCTAGCAACCTGCTCTCACTATTGCCATGATGGATGATGCTTGTAGCTATCCCATCCACCATCTGGTTCCTTCCTTTTCAGAATGCCACCACCTGACACCTGGTGGTACATTCTAGATTGCTGCTCTTCAAAGAGTGCTTGATGAGAGTTGGCCAGAGACAGCTGCTGTTGCCTTGAGGCAGCAAGTGATGATGATGGTGTTTCATCTCTCCCTTCTGTAGTATCAGGACCACCCAAAGGTCCTGCATTTAAGTCTAATCCCTGCCTTCCTCCCCACTTTCTGCTGCTGCTTTCACTGGACATACTACTACTAGCATCTGGAATGCTGACAACATAAGAAGGCCTAGGATGATAGGGTGATGGAAGAACCCCACCACCACCAGGAGCCAAAACCTGTGAATGTACAGCAGGAAAACAAAGTCTTCCACCTGATGCTGAATCGACATATGCTGTCGAACCACCCGAAAATGCAGCTGATGGTAGAGAGAAGTTGTTTCCGAAAGGGAAGACTGGGTACGGGAATGTAGCAGATGGATAGGGCACAGCAGGAGAAGATGACAACACTGGTCCTCTATAGACATCTGGAGGACTAAATGTAGTGCTGATAGTGGCAGCAGGAGCAGCTCCTACCATTCTTTGAGGTGCAACTATCGAGAATGGCTGCTGTTCCCCTCCTCTGTCAGGCAACATTGGCTGAATTGTTGCTACACCTGGATAGTTCCCTTGAGGAAACCAAGAGGCAAAATTACCCAGTTCCTTATTGTTGACTCGAAGGGCAGGAATTGCTGACTGAGATACAATGCTGTTATTCCTTACTTTCTGGACAAATAAAGATGATGGCTCAACAGTCCCCACCTCCTCGGCAAGAGGTCCATCATTCAAATCAAAGTCTCGACGCGTGCCTGCATTACCACCACTGAGAAGACCTGCTGCTGGTGATGTTTTGACTGTCGGCTGCAAATGAATGTCCAGCCTACGTCCATTGCTAGTCAAGTGATTATTGCTAACATCATCATCATCATCATCATCATCCATTTTATTCAAGTCAAGATCAAGTCCGCCAGAACTCCGAAAAGATACAGAAGCCACTACCGGTTTATCACATGCCCCAACATGATTATTTGCAAGGTCAGGGACAGAGCTCGTAGCCTGATCAGAAACTCGAGAAGCCAAATCTTCAATTACCCTTTCATCAGCCACATTTAGGTCAAAATCAAAGAGAGGACGGCTGGGTTTAGCAGATGAAGAAGCATCAGGAGAAGGGCCAATGGTTGTTATCCCAGCTGCATTAGCATCAACAGTTTTTCTTGGTTCAGCAGGTCGAAATGCACTTGTTGCAGCCGATCCTCTCCAACCAAGTTCCCCTCTATTCTTCAGCAAATCCTCTGGTGGAACAAAAGGACCTTTAGCAGCAGAAGCCACAGTAATTGAAGCAGGGAGACTACTAGAGAGAGAAGCTTGCAAAGGCAACGGACTAATCAATGGAATACAAGCAGAAGTTCTAGCAACTTTTACATTGGATGGATCCATGTACTTAACATCATCGCCATTAAGTCCCTCGTTTAGATCAAATACCATTTTTGCTTCATTTTCTGGGCTGCCAGTAACAGCTAACGAAGCATCTGCTGCAGCTGAACAGCTTTCCTCTGTGTCATCAGCTTCAGCACCTTTCTCCCTGGATCCTCTACTACCCGTTCTCTGATTTGATTGTATACCAGATTCATCCTGAGAACCACTTACCTGGTCATTAGCCCCATGAATTTCAGTTTGCATCTGATCGTCCTTCTTACTAAGCTGATCAGTCTTTGAAATTTCAGGGGAGGGATTTCGGCCTGTAGTTTCATTAACCTCTCCTTCTTTAACTTCCTCTGGACATTTGGTGGAAACCATTTCCTGTGCACCACCAGAAGGATTTAGCACCTGAAAATCAGTTCTCTTACCAGAATCAGAAAACATTACTGCAGGTGACTTTTGATCCGCCTGTAGACCAAAGTTTAACACCCCGTTACTATTTTTCTTGTTCCCCCCCTCAGCCTCAGTGGCAGAATGTGGGGACAAACTTCGGAATCCACCAGCCTTAACTTCTACAGCAGCAAGACTGAACTTAGTTTCGGCAGAAATGGAGCCAAGTGATTTTTCTTTACGATCAGATGTTGCTTCTGCTGTAACTGTACAACTAGGATCTTGCTTCCATGGTTGTTTGCCTCCATCGCCCAATTTATTTTCTGTACCGTTCACAGCAGGCACACCAACAAAAGGTCCCCTTGAGGTTCCATCAGTTTTATCTTCCTTTTCCTTGCCTATCTCTCTAGTTTGCTGGGCGTCGACAGAACAGGAGATTTGATCTTTCTCATGCCCAACAGAAGCTTTCTCTTGAGGTCCCTCTGTCTTAGTCTCTAATGTATCAACACCGCTGTCTTTCGTGTCAATTACAACAGCAACATTATCACCTGACTGACAAGTAGCAGTATCACCTGGACATGACTGCAACCTAGAATCAGCAGGTGGATCACACTGCAGAGCCCCATCAGGTTTAGACATCTCCCCAGCAGCAACACTAGCAAGCAGGTTCATCCCACCATCATCTGCTCCTGACGTCGATGCACTAGCATCAGAGTACTTGACACAACTTTCAATCAAAGCATTCATGGAGCTAAATGAAGCATCATGTAATCTTCCCGACTTGTTTTCATTGCTAGACGGCAATGATATGGATTTGGAGACTTCTGGCAGCTTCTTGGTATCTTCAGCTGCTCTACTGCTTTCATCATTTGGCCCAGTTGTAGGAGAGCCATCTCCTTCATCTGACCCAGTCAGCACATCTTTGAAATCATTGCTCTGCCATGACTCGGTATTGACATCTGAGCCGACATTAGCATGGCAAGTGTCGTTCTTATCTTTAAAACTGCAATCAAGTTGTTCCTGCTTCTCCGAAAGAGTAGGAGAACAAGATCTATTGAGCACGGCTGAAGGATCTTCGAACGATGCACCACTAGCACTTTGGGCAGGACTGCGCCCTCTGTTAGGAATCTTAACGACAAATCTGTGGTTGTTGGCCTCTGCTGTTGGAAGATCAGCCACCTTATCACTTGCGAAACTAGCTTGCAATAACTTTTCAGCACCAGGATTTTTTTGCAAAGGAGAACTTCTACTTATCCCAGTTTCCCGCTGAGCCACAGATCCAGCATGGCTCGGAAAGCCATTGTTCGACTTACGATGCCGTGAACCACTAGCAACCCTAGTTGGGGTCATAGAACCAGAGCTCCTTGTGTCCTCCTTACCATAAAATCCAACAGTTTTTGCTTGATCACCAGAGACAGTTTGGCTGTTATTGTGTGACTGGCTAGAACTGCTGCTCTTCTCATCTCTAACCATTGTTGGAGAAGCATCAGACCCCCCAGCACTGCCACCATATCTAGCCTGCCCTTCTTTAACTATACCAACCCCCGGTACATGCACTGCGATTAATTTATTGGACCCCGGAGATCCAGATGCTGACCTAGGAATAGCCTCTCCAGGGCCAAGCTTAGTCGGTGCGGGTTTTAAAACAGAAAGCTGATTAGTAGAGCTCTTCAATGGCACCTCAGAGACCACACCAGTGTGTCTGCTCCCACCATGATAAGCATCTGGAAGACGTGATCTAGTAGCCCAAGTGACACCCGGGTTTGACCCAGACTTTGCATCCATTTCAGCCTCCACACGTTTTTTCCAAGTGTCGACTAAACTCTTTGCCTTCTTCTGAATCTCTGTGTTCTTGTGGGAACGGAGTTGATTGACAGACTTTCCAATGTTACACGTTTGTAAAGCATGGAGATCCACAGGGAGTTTTTCAAGAGCACGAAGTAAGACAGAGAGAAACTCTTCTACTGATTTGTCACCATCCTTGGAACTATTACCATCACCAATCTTTCCTTTATGGGCCTCCTGTATCCACTCATCAAAAACAGGTAACCCTCTCAGCTGAACAAACCAATTAAGGCAATCAAACTTATCTGTTGCTGCTACTACACCAGCCATAATAGCCCGGCCAACCAAATCTATCTTCTTCTCATTTCTATCAGGTAGCATAAGTTGCACCAATTTCTCAACAGCATCAAAATCCACAAGCCCACCTTTATCTTTCAATTTACTAATCTCTGATTTCCAGGTGTTCTCTGCTCTTGAGTTAGCAGAATCACCATCATCCAGTTTTGCAGAACGCTCACGTTTAAGAGGCTCTATCCCTGGATCTCCACGATCTCCCCGCTCCCTTTTCTTTCCCTTAACTTGAGAAGGAAAGGATGAACCACTATTCTGCACGCTATCGGAACCAGGTTTTGACAGTGATGTTGCATTTGGAACATTCATCGGCTTTGGTGAATGCCCTCCCGACTGTACTGTTGCGTGCATTTCTTTGTGTGTCTTAGTCAATAGTTGATCTACTTCTTCTTGATGTTCCTGTAAATAAGAGATTAGCAACAATTGGAAAAACAGTAACTGGACGAAGGTAGAAGAGATTGTATAGAAATGCAAGCTGGCACTCACATCAATATAATCTTGATCAGTTAACCACCATAAACACTTGTTTCGAATGTCGTAAACACGGTGGCACACAAATGAAGAAATCCCTGATGGAAGCTCAGCACCTTTAGGGAGGAAGAAAACTTTACACGGATGGAGTAGCAATGCGGCAGATATTTCATCCTTGTGAAAGGAGTAAAATATTTCGTTTGGCGCAGTGTCCAAAAGGATGCTTTTGCCAAGCTTTATTTCAGAAGGTCGATAAAGCCAATTCACACCTAAAATTGGGTTATTATCTTTATTGGTTTTGACACAACGGATTATTCCAATTAAAGGTGGTGACTCCTCTGGTGGTTTGAAAAGAGCACAGTCCCCAACACAGATTTTTCGACCGTCCTGAATGTAAGAAGGGATAACAAAGGTAAGAAATTGTCAGAAATCAGTCATATGAGTAATTATGAACAGTTGACAAGGAAGCCAATGGAAGAATGTCCAGGAAATCAGAAACAACATATGAGATACAACACTGATCTTGGAAATACACTTGTTACTGGATTGAGTCCTGGAAGAAAACAGCACAAAAGTCAAGCTCCACAAGTTTTCTTTACAACCAGCACTTCAAGTATAAGCAGAGATAGATCATGACTTTCCACGGCTAGTCCCAGCTGAACACCACAATCAATCTCTTTCAATGTCCCAACAACAAAAGTTGCTCACATAAAAAGTCAAACTTTCGTAATACCGTCCCCAGTTTGAGCATACAACTCCTCCGATTAGAACACATGTTCCAAGATGATTCACTGCAGGCCATCATTGTTCACTTGTCCAAAAACCAAGAAGGCAGGCTTCTGGATTCTTGAAGAAATGATTAACAAACAATTAAGACCACATCCCTCAATAGCGTAACACCGCAGGCAAGAGGAACCTAATCCCTATTCCGCAGCCACATATCTCAAAATATGTCCACCTGAAACACCACTTATGACCATTTTTGGGGACCTAAACTCCATCAGAACGTTGCACTAACTTACTGAGTATCACCAAGCAACCAATTCCTAATTAGCGAATCCAGCAGTGACCAATTTTCTTACAGATTAATCACACGAATCTCCAAAGCCTATTTCATGATCCCGTAATCCTCACTTATGACTTAGGGGACAACGCCGTTATAAGTCTTCCAGAATTGTCAACACGAAATGGGGAAAGGAAGAACAGTAAAGAATACTTCATTTTTCTTCTCGAAACCAAGAAAAGAAGGAAGAGTACCTTGTAAAACGAATTAGGAATCGGAGAAGACAAAGAAACATCACCCGCTACAACCGAATTGGCAGGGACGGGATCTGTCCACATGTGCCGAGCCCTTTTCCTCTCCTCACCTTCCCGTCCATGCATAGCCTTGCATTTTCACCTTCGAGTACCATCAATACCCCCGCCCTTTATGACAGCACCCAGCGCTACCACTCCACTTTCCTAAACCCTAAATCCAAGGGACGAACCGAGGGCCCAACCAATTCCGCAGTGGCATCGAAACCCTAGCTTTTTATATTTTTCGTCAACCCGGCCCGAAAGCAAGCTTCAACCTTGCGAACCCTGCAATTGATCAATCGAACAAGAGCGCGGATTCGGACAATTGACGGCAGTTCGAATGGCTTCCCGCGATGGCAGCAGATGGACTTTAGCGAGAGAGAGAGAGCGAAGAAAGAGAGATGGGGAGCCGGAGAAATGATAGAAAAGGAGAGAGACGGGGAAAAAGGGGAAAGGAGAGGAAGCAAGTTCGAAATTCGTAGGCGAGAGAAATTATACGGTGCCACCTCGGACCATTTGCGTTGGCGAGTCAAACTAATCGGATGGTGCCACGTGGATAACCTGTCCAACTCGTCCCTCCCATTTTGATGAACGGCCTCAACGATTGTGGTTTGAATGCTCTGCCCGAACGTATAGATTAAAATTTCATCCATGCTCGCTAGTAGGGTTGGGTGGTGGATGGTTAATTCGCAGTTTGACATCGGTTCACTCATAAATAATTCGAATTGTAGTGGGTGGACTTGTGAATTGATAAATCTCCTACCCGCACCTAGTTTGGTGGATGGTGGGTGGATTGCGGGTCACTCGATCATATTTTCACGTGAAAAAAAGTTGTTTCTTGTTTATACTATCGAATAGTCATCATATTTCTAAACCCCACTACACATTGACTATCATAAAGGTCGTTTGGATGAATTAATTGTCAATGTGGTATTTGTAGAGTCAAATAACTCATTAATTGTTCATGTGGTATTTCGATGTTATTTTAGTGATAATTGGATTAAAGTATCTCGTTTGGTAGAACCATACACATGTGGTATTTGTAAAGAAAATTTTGTTGCAAATACTTCACGATTCACATGAGACAGTGGGAAATGTATAAATTGCTATAGTCTTACTAATTTGCGAGTAACTTATTCTAAAATATTAGTTGAATTGTTTAATGGCTAGTTGACGAATTGGGTTTGCGGATTAACTCACAACCCAACCACACTCATCTGCCACCCACCCAACCCAATCCGAAGAAGAATGCGGGTGGATAGCGAGTCATAATTATACCAACTCATTATTAAGCGGGTGGGTCAATTTGAAACCAAAATCCACCCAACCCGCTCATTGTCCACCCCTGCTCGCTAGTATTCATCACGCTTTTATAAGTCAGTCTAGAGAATCAACGGATTGACTGAATATGACATAGATGAAAAAAGACAACAAAAATATGGAACATATAGGGTGCTAATTAATACACTATGTCTTAGCACTATGCTAACATTACCTAACATGGGTGTTATAGTAACTGCAACTAATTAAAGCCATTATCGTTAAGCGACCATTACCGCCCCATCGATCTGAACAATGTCAAACCATTCCCTCTCTTCATTTCCCTCCAAAATGATTTTTCTCCTCCTTTCATGCGATTCCTCTCCTCGTGTAGCATCAATCAGTTATCACTAGAGGGTAATGATGTAGAAATCTAATGATAAAATCCTAGGCGGCCCTAGGGTCGTAATCTACGAGGTCTTCTAATGCATAGTTACTCACACCAAACCATCCAAGACTCACACAAAACTTATAGAGAAACACTAGCTTTGTACCCGGCCTGTTGGCCGGAGAGATTTATTTTATAATTTATATTAATTAACTTATTTATATGTTTAAATCATTTTGGATCTTCTAAATATTTTGTGTTCTTGATTCATAAAAGAGTTTGTAGTATGTTTATATTAAAAATTTCCAATATTTAGCACAGTCACTTCTGATGCTTCGGTTTTCTAATCATAAATTATGCCTCTGTCACGTCCCATTTAGAACTTATGTCAAAATTTGTCAACCAAAACACTAATATTTAGCGTACGCCAACCTGAACCACACACACACACTACCATACGACCATTGAGTTTTACTATTTAGACTCCGAAGTTTTTTTGGACATGATACTATACCCTAACCTCTAATAGGTGGACTCTAATCCCTAATTCTCTAACCTCTAATTTATGCAAATACTTTGTCATACCTATCTTCTATCGTATCTTGAGTAAAATCAAAAGATAGTATACCTTGATATTATATATATGTATATATGCGTGTATATATATATAGTAGACTCGAAATTATCCAGATACTTCGCCATACCTATCTTATCTCGTCTAATACTCATATAAAAGTGCTACTTGCCTATCTCCCACCCTCGGGATAGAGATCCCACTTTTACCCCATAACGTCATACAACCATTGAGGTTGTCTATCGTTTGATATGTAATATATAAAGAGGGAAATCCTAAGATCCTGCTATTTATTTCTTATCCTCTCCCACCGCCCCCTTTATGGAGAATAAAATGGTAGGGATGACAGGATCATAGCTCGATATGGTTTTATTTTGTTCATCGTATCGGAGGTTATGTTCTTTTCTTTTTTTTTTTTTGCTTCTTTTCATTCTTCTTTGACACCTATGGTTGTGATCAGAGGTATTTAGCCCCTAAAAGGGATTGGGATTTTAGGTCCTTTGAAAATCCAAAACACATTCATGATCCTCAAGTTTGGACGAACTCTCGACCAATGTTGTAAAGATTAGGACTTTATAGTGAGACATTCTTAGTAAAGATACTTCATTATTGGATCAATTTATTCATCCATATTGAAACTTGACACACACCGTACTTAAGTCATTTTGAAAATTTTGATTTATAATCGTTGACGATAAGTTCAAGTCTGAAAGAAAATTTCTTAGCATACGACTTAGGACCTCAATAGAGCTTGCTCAATCAACATGATATAGAACAAATATTATTAATGTGAACTTATGACATATTATAAAATTATTGCACATGCGATTTCTCTTCATTTGATGAGTTTAAGGTAGAACATGATCTGAGGAATAAGAAGTCTTTTTTAAATAAATAACTATAACTACTCGATCAAGATTATACTCTGACATTTTGATAAATAATGCTTATTTTATTTTATAGACATATAATTTATGAATAAGAGAGTGTTTCATTGCAACAAAATATAAAGTAATATAGTTTATTTTTCATAGGTAATTGAATGTCAAATGTTTATTTTCTCTCTTTTCAATAAATTTTGTTTAATGAAAAAAAACATTATTGTTCATGTGTATGCTTGTCTAATTTTTCCATCAAAATGTAACTTATCATTCAATTTTAGTAAAAATGGATGCCCAGGAATGCAGCAGGCCTGGGCTTTGTTTTGTTTCTTGTTTTTGCAGGGATCTCAGACTCCTATAGTTTTGAGATTTTTGTTTACGGGCAAGGGTGACAATGTCTATGCTTCAATTTTCAGAATCGGCAAGGGTCTGCTTCTCTGCTTCAAATTCAGCGTGGTTAATTCATGATTTTGGTACTTTTGAGAGAAGAAATCATGATATTGCCCATGTCCTTAAGGTACCAAGGGCTGCCCATATCGTGGCAAAAAGAGCCCTCTTGTCGTTGGATCCTCCGACGCTTCTTCCTTTTTTATCTTTTGTAATTTGACCTGTAAAGGTTTTGTTCTTATATTTCGTATCTTGCTGTTTCCCATCTTATGGGATACCTTTGGAAAAAAAAATTTAGTAAAAATGAGTAGAAAATTTACTTCATAAGGTTTAATCAGATATTTTTTATTAAACAAATGTGGTATATGTTACTTTCTGTTTTCTTATTTATATTTTTTTTACTGGACAAACAAATTATTATTTATGTGTGTTTGGTTAAGTTTATCAACATGTAACCTACTATTAAAGCAAAAAAATGGTTAAAAGAAATGGAAATATTAAAGAAGAGAGAGGTAGCTTCATAAATACATTAATAACTAATTTTTTTGTTTGTAAAAATTTTATCCAACTTGGCAAATTGTGGATCCTCCAAGTGCTTATGTGGCAAGAGATTGCTTTTGAATTGCCATAATATATAGTATATAGATATAGATTTAGATTTAGGGATTTTCATCTAACTAACATGTAAGGAATAGTAAAGTTGTTTAGGTGGCTTTAAATTTAAAGATGCATAAAAGTAAAGATACGTTATTGTAGAAGAAGTCAAACTGGAATACTATCATGCATACTGGGGCTCATTCGGAACATGCATCAATGGTTCATCAATGGTATCACCCTATCCCATCCACTAAGGCCACTCTCTACTCGTGCATGCGCCTCTTGCGATAGAGATTTAACTAGCTAATGTGTTCTTTCGTTTCATGCCATCACCTAACTAATGAAAAACATAGACGTTAGGATAGCACATGATTAAGTGTGGGCCTCTATGATCCATAATAAAATGGTCTATAGCATCAATTATCTAACAATGAAGCATTGATACTACTAGAGGTATATATGGTTGATAATTTTCTCTATACTCGTGTAACATCAATGGGGTATCAGTAGATGGTAATTTCTTGATAACCTAGATAATACTAAGCATAATGCTTATAGTAGCATACCATGGACTCATTCCTAACTACACAATTAAATCTCGACTAAAGCCCAAGTGCAAACTCTAGAAGGGTGTAATATAAGGCAAGTGATAACACCAAAATCGATGATATTTACCCTCCATCTTAGGGTATGTTTTGTGCCAATTCATGTGCTTAAGTGTTTGAACATTTTCAAATACATCCCTATTTTGTTCCTATTTGATTTTGAAGTGATTATAGGGTGTATTAGTCAATATGTACAAATTAGGTACAAAACAAGGTCACAAGTGTAGAAAAGGGGCAATGATCAAAGATCGTGGCCTAGAAGCCAAAGATCACGGCTGAGATCTCCAATCGTGAAGACTCGCTGAAGATCACGGCCCAGAAGCCAAACATCGCGAGCGCGATCTTGAAGGCCCAAGACGCAAACTTCGCGAAGAAGGAGCCTTGGAGAAGCAGAGAGTTTCACGGCCAAAGTTCAACTTCCCCGTGAGGAAGATCACGGTCACGACTCAAGGATCGCCACCGAAAAGTCACCCCCGTGATCTCCCCCCTTTAGAAAGCCATGACAACGTCGTCTGGAGATCGCGGCCTATCATCAGAAGATCCAGCCCGCGATCTCCCGGCCTCAGGTCGCGAACTTCCCCGAGCCCATAATGCCTATAAATAGAAGACCCCCTTCCCCATTTCAAGAGAGCTTATTTTGGATGAAATTTCTAGATCTAGAGAGAGAAGATAGAGAAGCTGGAGGGAGAAGGAGAGAAGGAGAAGAAGGAGGAGCTAGGAGCAAGGAGGATCTTCCCCAACTTCAAGTCTTCTTCTATTTCTACCATGTATCT